TCTTTGAGAAGAATGACTTATATCTGCACAGAAGATGGAAACAGGTGCAGTATATTTCTGATTTATTTTGAAGTGAAGTGTGGCCAAGTATGGTGACCCATACTCGGAATTTGTGTTCTGCATTTAACCCATCCAAGTGCACACACACAGTAGTGAACACACCCGGAGCAGTGGGCAGCCTTTTTTTTTTTTTTTTTTTGCTGCGGTGCCCGGGGAGCAGTTGGGGGTTCGGTGCCTTGCTCAGGGGTCTCACCTCAGTCGTGGTATTGAGGGTGGGAGAGGGTGCTGGTCATTCACTCCCCCCACCTACGATCCCTGCCGGACCTGAGACTCGAACCCACGACCTTCGGGTCACATGTCCGAGACGCTAACCATCAGGCCATGACTGCCCCCAATGGAAAGGGTGGATTAGAGAATATCTTCCTAGCATGCGAGAGAGAACAAAATGGACTTCAGCTAAAAGAAACTTTCAACCTAATGACCTGGTAATAATTGCTGATGAGAAAGCACCACGAAATTCCTGGTTGTTAGGACGAATTGTTGAGACCTTTCCAGATAATCAAGGACGAGTGCAGAGTGCTCTTAGCAAAACAAAATGAAGTACACTGTTGAGGCCTATCCTATGAGCTTTGCTTGCTGATGGAAGCTCCACTTTCCACTTAATGGGCCAGCAGTAAAAACTAAGCCCCAACAGTGGGTCACATATTAAGGACATCTGATCCCTAAAATAAATGAACTATTATGAACTTTTGATGAACTCTTATAAGCTATGTTGAATCTAATGAATTTATAAGCTTACGAACTGCTATTCTATAAATAAGAATGATAATGTATATAACGATTGAAGAATACATGTACGGCTATTATTGAATATGTCTATAATTATGTTTATTGGGAATTTATGAATTTTTTGTTTGTTTGTTTGTTTGTTTTGTTTAAGTACGTAATTGTGTAGTCCACAGTTAGGGGCCGGGTGTTAGAGCCATCTTAATTTTCTTTGAATTGTCTATTTGAATTAGAGCAGAATATTTGTCTGGTTATTGAGATGGTGAAATTTCCATTTACCTTGTCATTTCTTTGAGCTGAATACCTACCTCTAGTGTTGCATACTGGTCACTGCATCTAGATAACGCCTGTAGGGTCCTGCTTAAAGGGATTTAGTAGTCAGTCTAGGATGCCTATCAGGCATCAAAGAGTTTTTCAACAACATGGTGGTAGGTTACCTTATCCATTTTATTCCTTTTTTTTCTTTTTTGTCAAACTCTTGGATGGAAATAAATGGAGCATACTTACATAATCGTGTTGACTGGATACTGGCTGGCACATGATGATTGACCTGAAGGCTCCTGGGCATGGAAGTCAAGCTTCCTAAGCTCCATTGCAGGGACAGGACTTACCTGCAGTGAAGAGCTCAAGCTGCTAACTAAGTGGTTAGGTCTTCAGTCTTCAGCACACATCAAGAGGATTCGAGGCATCCACATCAATGACCCAGCTCTAGGCCTGAGAATGGCATGGTCTCGTTTTCAAGGCTCTCCAGAGAGGATCGAAAAGGCTCCCTTAGACAGAGTGGAGAGGTTTCGGAGGATCAACAATAAGGATCCACAGAAGCTCAGAGAGCTTAGTGACCTACTACAGGAGCTAGTATCAGCGCAGTGTAAGGGCAAGCTACCTGGGCTGACTTACCTTGACACTGCTAGACGCCTGGACCTCATAGTAGAGAAGTTGCCATTCAGCTTCCAAGAAAAATGGATCTCTCTAGGGATTAATTACAAGCTACAATACAAGGTGGATTTTCCACCATTCGCCTACTTTGCTGACTTTGTCCGCAGAGAGGCTTAAATCTGTAACGATCCAAGTTTCTCTTTGTCTATTTCAGCTGTTACAACAATGAAGCCAGGCAATGCAGTGAAGAAGATGAGTAGCTCCAGGAATTTCATCTCCTTGCACAAGACAGAGATCTCTTCTATGTCTGACTCTGACACTACAGAGACTCCCAGTGCTAGGCCAGATGTCAGTAGCCAATGTCCTATCCACAAAAAGCCCCACCCCCTTATTCACTGTGGAGACTTCAGAACCAAAACCATAGAAGAATGCAAGGCATTTCTAAAAGAAGCTGGCATATGTTTTAGATGTTGTTCTTCAAGTAAACATCTCACCAATGACTGTAAAATCACAGTTCAGTGTAAATAGTTCAACAGTGATGGGCACATAGCAGCTCTTTGCCCCGGGCCAGTTCCATGGAATAGCCAGACCCCTGAGTCAGATAATGGCGGGGAGGAAAAGGGTGAGCCATCTCCTACTGTAAGTGTACAGAGGTCTGTGGAGAAAACAACAGCCCACACTCCTGCTTTAAAATCTGCCTCAACACAGTACATTTTAAAGGACAAAAGGTCAGTGAGACTCTATACTATTCTTGATGACCAGAGCAACCAGCCACTTCTTTGACCTCTTTGGCATTAAAGGCACAGATGCTGTCTACACACAGAGATGCCTGGAAGGAGAGCCACAAGCTTCATCTCCCAACCTTTGGATGTAAGTCTCAGCATAAATCTCCTGACTCTCATAGAGTGCAACTACATCCCTGAGGATAGGTCAGAGATAACTATTCCAGAAGTGGCAAAGCATCATGCTCACCTCAACTCCATTGCTAAGCACATTCCTCCACTTGACTCAGAGCCTCAAATCCTACTTCTCCTTGGGTGTGACGTCCTACAGGTCCACAAGGTGAGAGACCAGCACAACGGACCTAATATCGCACCATATGCCCAACACTTGGATCTCAGGTGAGTCATTATCAGTGAAGCCTGTCTAGGCACAGCTCACACAGCCAAAGACACAAATGTGTTCCGCACTTATGTTCTTGAGAATGGGCGCCACTCTCACTTCATGCTCTGCCCAAACCATCTCACTCTAAAAGAAAAGCTTACTGTGAACAGTTAAAGATCTCACAATCTCCACGACCTGCAAAGCTCGCAGCTCGCTCATGTTCCAGCTCCATGTCCTGAAGATGACTCCTTGGGCAGTAAGATCTTTCAACACACAGAGGATGACAATGAGGTTGCCACCTCTATCGAGGACAAGCAGTTCATCGAGCTAATGGATAAGGAGATGTTCACTGATATTCAGGTTTGTCAACGGTGGAATGGTTGGCTGCCTTATGTCCCAGAGTGCCCTCATGTCTGTGTTAGCTTCTGGCTCTCCCTTTTAGTTATGCTGTCATAGCTAGTCTTGCTGGAGTCCCTGCCTGCACTCTGCACGCAAAGTACATTGTCCTTAACCATTAGAGGACAAAAGCTTACCTAACAATCTCTCCCTCTCTCTCCATCTCTCTCTCCCTCACTCTCTGTCGAGCTACACATGCTACTTCTGAGATGCCAGTGATCCTTACCCCTTCTGCTCCTTCTCGCTGCCTGACCCATCCTGATGCACCTTCTGCTCCTCCTCGCTGCCTGACCCATCCTGATGCCCTACTTCTGGTTGGAGTTCTCATCGGTTGAGTTCGCTCGCTGCTGCTGGGGGTGGCCCCATATGGACGGCCTGAAGAACCATTTGGTTTGCTGGGGATAGTGCCACCTGGGGGCTGTGGAGATGGCTTGGGGATCACATATGGGGAGCTGTACTGTAATGGCTTGGGACTGCGATTGCTGTAGTGGCTTTGGGGCTGCGGTTGCCACGAGCACCTTCGTACTCAGGACTCCATCAGTGGACAGTGGATAGAT